CTCCCACACTAAGAAAACAGGAGGGGAGGGGTCAGCGGAGCTCCTGTGTTGCGGAGCAGAGAGGGAGAGAGACGAAGTAAACAAACAAGCAGGAAAATGAAACTTATCGCCGTCCTTTTTTTACCGACCTCAAAAAAAGTTATCGTGCGATTAATTGATTTATTGACTATCGCGACAGGCCTATTTACAGATTTGCAATGATGCTATTTTGTACAGTTTGTTTACTTTCTGATTCAACTGCTTGTCGTTTGAACTGTGTTTGGTGGATGTAAAAATATATTCCATGAGCTTTTACAAGATTTTTAGCTTTATGTTGATACCAAACATGTCCAGGTTCAACTGACAGGTCTGAAGTTAAAAGAAATAGAAAGCAGAAAAAGCTGTTTTGCTCAAGAGGTTAAAGCCCTTTTAAATAATCTATAAATATTTAATTTRTAATTCAGGTATAAAATAATCTGAACACTGATCTGTCTGCTCGTAGAGAGGATTTCTCCTGAACATAAGAGGTTATCAATCAGTGGATTTCATGCTTTCAAACTACTGTGATAAATATTCAGGTAGCAAGAACTGGAAAAAAAAAAAATGCATTGTGAAAGCTAAATGCTAAAAGTTTAGCTGAAATTTGTTGGAGAAACTTAAACTGAATTCAGAGATAAAACAAGCAGACCAGCTGTATGACCAGCAAACCAGAGCTATGTGCTAAACCATAGCCTAAAATTAGCCAAATAATGTTTATGCTAAACGGAGCAGAACTGTAGCTAAAACCTAACTGTGGTATAAGATGTCACATGTAGAGAGAGTGCTGAAGCAGATTTTAAAGAAAATGTTTTGAAGAAACTAAAGAAATGTATTTGTTTTGAAGGGAATTTTATTTTAACTAAAGTTAAATACTTTGAAAAGTATAAAAGTTGCAAAAATAGGAAGTTGTTTTTATGTATGAATGGCTTAAAAACAAGTATCCAGTAGTAGTTTGAATCAAAAATTTCAATAATCTGACCAAAAATCTGGGCAGCACAGTGGATTAGTGGTTCTCTGTGGCTTCACAGAAAGAAGGTCCTGGGTTTGATCCTTGGTCCAGACCTGGGGTCTTTCTGTGTTTCCACAGATAAAAACCTGCAGGTTAGATGCCTTCAGGCTTGCATGGAAAAGAGATCTGTGATCTCAGTGAGGCTGGCCTGTTTGTGAGTGAGTGGGTCATTGCAGGTTTACCTGTCAGTGAGAATTTGCAGGTTTACCTGTCAGTGAGAATTTGCTGGTTTACCTGTCAGTCTGGAAGAATTTGCAGGTTTACCTGTCAGTCTGGGAGAATTTGCGGGTTTACCTGTCAGTCTGGGAGAATTTGCGGGTTTACCTGTCAGTCTGGGAGAATTTGCGGGTTTACCTGTCAGTCTGGAAGAA